GTAAGTCGAATTCGCGTAAGTCGGGGTATAATTTCGCATATAAATACATACAAATAATTTTTAATTGGGGCCGGAGACTAAAGAAAACAATAATTTAGAAAAAAATGTTTAATAAAATCTTAGATAATACATATGTATAACAAATTATTATTACACAATTTTCCACATTTACTTGATTATCACACCATAATTTTAACATCGTTTCCATCTCAGGGATAATACCATGAAGTTTACGAATGATGCTTGAATTTAAAGATTGAACATCTTTTACAGCTTCGAGAATTTTTTCTTTGCCTTTCATAGTTGTTCTGACTGTCGATTCCGATAGATCAAACTTCTTTGCCAATTCACAAATTTTCATTTTTGTATCGAAGTCTTTAATAATATTAACTTTACATTCCAAAGATAAAGTTTTTCTTTTCTTGTTTGATGCAGAAGAATCTGTTCTACTTCGTTCAGATGACATAGTAGAGTCTCTCAAGTCTCGCAGATATAACAAAACACAAAAATTAATAACACAAAATAAATTGTAGCTATATGTCGATTCCGCGCGACACGTCCGAACATTTAAGCCGAACAATAGTGTGGGGGAGTGAGTAATCAAGAGCTGNGGTCGATCAGCTATTGTATCAGCCTACCACTCCGGGGACTCGGAAACAATCAGGGAGGTAAAAAAACACCAGAATAAAAAAGAAATAGTGCTCTACAATGCATTGCATCGATGACAGACGGCTTCTTTACATTTTGTGATTATTTTTGCCTGTGGAAACTAAGATACCTTTTATATATATATGCCAATTGTGGGTTCGTCAGCACATAATGGGACGGACTAACACCCGAAAAATTTCTGGAGATTTTCGATTCACGTAGATTCATTTTCAGTTCTCCAGAGCTATAGACTGACATCGCTTAGCTATCTGGCTGTCTATGAACATCAATTCCAAAATAGAAACCAGATGGCCAAGCGGTCAAGGTGGCAGCCTACAGCTCTGGGGGAAATCCGGACGTGTCGGTAAATCCCCAGGAATTTTGCGGGGCCCCGTCCCTCACCACCCGGCCGCCCCATTGTGAGCCTAGCCGAACCCAGTGCCGGCCCGAGGCAAGATTTAGGATGGAGCGAGATCCTATTATGGCGCNACACAAAAATTAATAACACAAAATAAATTGTAGCTATATGTCGATTCCGCGCGACACGTCCGAACATTTAAGCCGAACAATAGTGTGGGGGAGTGAGTAATCAAGAGCTGCGTGGCGCTCAAACAAAAGACGAATCGACGAGATTTGAAAATCGCGTAGCTCCGGGTTCGCGTAAGTCGAAGTATTACTGTATATATATAAAGCCAATTGTGGGTTCGTCAGCACATAATGGGACGGACTAACACCCGAAAAATTTCTGGAGATTTTCGGTTCACGTGGATTCATTTTCAGTTCTCCAGAGCTATAGACTGACATCGCTTAGCTATCTGACTGTTTATGATGGTATCTGGCTGTCTATGAACATCAATTCCAAAATAGAAACCAGATGGCCAAGCGGTCAAGGTGGCAGCCTGCAGCTCTGGGGGAAATCCGGACATGTCGATAAATCCCCAGGAATTTTGCGGGGGCTGGTCCATCCGGATATGTCGGGCACCGTCCCTCACCACCCGGCCGCCCCATTGTGAGCCTAGCCGAACCCAGTGCCGGCCCGAGGCAAGATTTAGGATGGAGCGAGATCCTATTATGGCGTCCCCTGGTTGCCCCTAATTTATACCCTTTAATTTTCTTTACCACTGAACCGCCCCCTAGGACTTAGCGCCTGGAGCGGCTGCTCCGTTCGCCCTATGGTAGGGCCGGCTCTGAGTACCACGTTTCATAGTTGCGTCATTCAACATAATGTGGTTATGTAAACTACGTTTCTTGGTAGGAGTGATATACTGGTACCAGTACCTCAACGTTAGATACTGTATTTTTTTGTTTCAAAGTTTCCCATAATTGTTCCTTTTGTTCAGTTTGTTATATTATTCGATTTAAACTTGATTTTAAAATATGGCAATTGTCAGATTACGAAGAAATTGAGATTCGTTTTTTCCTAGAAATTGGAATCTTACATGGTGAGTTAGGAAATAATCCCAGTACGAATATCGATCGGAATGATTATATACATTATGTTTGTACCAATTATTAAGTATCTTTAATCATTGTAAAATCAGGTGGTGCAAACAGAATCGTTAATGTGTACGATAGTCTATTTACAAGTAGAAAACAAAATGTCGGACTGTTCTTCCACAGTAATGGGTATTTGGTGGAATAGATAGTGAATCGAAAGAATGTTTTTTTTTTTTTTTTTTAGTTACCATGCCAGACCGTTCAGGTAACACTTCGATTGATGCTATACGAAATAATGTGAAAGAAGGAAATATAATATTTTCTGACTTGGAAAGCGTACAAACTGTCGAGTTAAAAGAAGACGGATACGAACGCTTGCTTGCAAGTATAAATTTTGCGAACCCTGAAATACTCAAAAATAGTTGTAGTAAGTTTATTAATTGTTCAGTATTTCATTGTAGTTTTAAAACATGTATGAATTACGAAATAAAATGTCAATTTCACTAAAAATAGTAGTAAAAATGACTGCTGTCCCGTTAATTAACCAAAAAGTACCGAGATTTATAAATCTACGCGACAAAACGCATCTGTCAATTATAATGACCGAAACACAGTTTTCCTGGCATGGAGATCTTTACATGAAATCTCTGTGTATCTATAATTTGAGTGTAATTTTCTATTACTTATAATGTATTTTTGTATCCTATTTAATTTATATGTTCTCATATATTCTCTGTTTTTAAATTTGTTCGCTACTTACATGTTTGATGTTCCAAGTTCTGTTGTAATTTTTTAAAACATTCGATCCTGTAGAACAGCCTAATGATGACCATTGAAAATGGCTGAAAATGTAAGCAGATTTATTAAAATAATGTTGTTTTGCTGATTTAAGTAAGTTTGTATTATTTTATATTTTTGAGGACAATCAATTTAAATAAATATGTAATTTGTTAACACGATAATCAATTTAAGCAGATGGCGCTAGTTGTACAATATGGCGGACTCACGTGTTGATGTGTCGAAAGTTCAAATTAGTGAAGCTGTTTTAGCTTTAAAAAAGGTTGAAAAATTATGGAAAGAGAATGAAAACAGAAAAACTAAATTGCTGGAAGATGATGAACATTCGAAAAAAGTATTTTTACAGATTGGATTGAAGAAGATCCCTGAAATTAAAAGTAAGGCAGTTAAGATTTACTTACCACATTGGAATTTAGAAAATGGAGTCGGTGAAGTTTGTCTGATTACCGGAGATTTGGATAAAAAGAATCCACGTGCTGATCCGGAAGAAACTGTTCGTCATTATAAAGAACTGTTAGAAAAACATGAGATCACGTGTATTTCTGCGGTCATATCTCTACGTGAATTGAATACTGATTATAAAGAATATGAAGCGAGACGAAAACTATGTAATGCTTATGATACATTTCTAACAGACAGGAAAATACTTGCTTCAGTCAATGCGGCATTGGGTAAATTTGTCTATGCTAATAATAAAATACCTCGTCGAATTAACATAAATTCTAAAAATTTAAAAAAGGAAATTACTAATGCATTAGCTTATTGTATCTGCTTTGTCCAAGGGAAAGGTTCTGATTGTACTGTTTGTGTTGGTCATATTTCTCAGCCAAAAACTGAATTGGTCAAAAACATTATTACTGCTGTTGAGAAATTTTCGGATAGTGTTCAGGGTGGTTGGCGGAATATCAAAACATTGCATATTAAATGTGCTAAGTCTCTTGCGATACCATTTTATGTATCTCTTGAATCGCCAAACGAAGTAGATTTACCAACATCGGTGGTTCCTAACGAACCAATTGAAGATGAATTAACTACTTTAACAAACGGTCGTGTTAAAGTATATCCCGACGGAGAGGTTGAAGTAGTAGAATCTAATAAAAAAGAATTAATTATTCAATTATGTAACAATTTATTAAAATTTACTAAATAAAAATATATATTAATAAATTGTGTTTTAAAAGTATATTAATCATAACTTTTAAAATTATTTTACATAAAAATTAAACAGTATTGTAGGCATATCAATTCAGGTTCTGAAATCAAGTTGTTTTCTTCATTTTAATTGATTTTTTTATATTCTTTTTCTTTGTTTTTAATAGTTTTTGTTTCTTTACTTTCTTTGTTGATGTATTTTGTAATTTCTGATTTTTTTCATCATTGTCATCCATTTGTTTTAATGTTTTGCAATATTCAGTCTGATTTTCTCCACTTTTAAGTATCTTCTTTCTGTTTTTCTTTGTTGATGTATCAGCTGATTCATGTTCTTCATTAGCCTTACGTTTCTTCACTTTTTTCTTTAATGTACTTGATTCTTCATTTTCAACTTGTGTCTCATCATTCATTAAATCATCCTTGGAATTATTTGGTAATTCAGTTTCCTTCTTAGCAATCTTTTTTGATTTTGGTTTCAAATTTGTCTTTTTTTGCCTATCATTTATCTTTTAAATGTTTCATTTAAATAATGATACATGAATTATTTTTGTTTCTTGTATGATCTGCAAAATGACCATAAAGTCCTTATGTATGAGATCATTTTCTGAATTTTCTCAATTACAGAATATCTTTATGACAATTCAGCAGACATTGTGACACAAATCCAATATGGCATTAAGTCTAGGCTTTAAGGACATCACACAATCACTTTGGGGCATTGTTACGGTGACTATATGTCCTTTATTTAAGAGGACAGTCCTTTATTTCACTACTCTGTCCTCTAACTTTATTTTATAAAATAGGCATTTTGTCCTTTATTTTGTAAATTCAATGCAAAGGTTAAAAACTTTTTTAATATATTGAACAAGTTAGTTTTGTGTACGCCATCATGATCAGTGTTGTCATTGTGTCCATATGTTGCTACATAGTGTGGTAGTGCAGTGTGTCGCCAACCGAGCAGCCCTCTGACAGTACCAAGGGGCAGACACTCTTATGGGGATTTTTGTGATAGTTTTTTAACTCTCTGTTTGGTGGATGATACACTTGGAGTGTTGGTGAGCAATCGTCGACACTTGTCGACAATCTTCGGGGGCTCGAGCATGTGACATATTTACTGTTAATGTACTAAATAATTGGGACATGTGTTTTATTGAAACAGAGGTGTTTGAATGGGTCACATTACTCAAAATCCCTTTGTGGGTGAAGATAGAGGAAAGCTATATTTTTATTTCGAATCATTGGTCTGTAAATATACTGGACAGTGAATTATTTGATGAAGTTTCATGTGTAAAAAAATGTCACAAACAAAAAGAACGACGAATGGTGACAGAATAACAAGCCCTGCCATCAAAAGTNAGTGTGGTAGTGCAGTGTGTCGCCAACCGAGCAGCCCTCTGACAGTACCAAGGGGCAGACACTCTTATGGGGATTTTTGTGATAGTTTTTTAACTCTCTGTTTGGTGGATGATACACTTGGAGTGTTGGTGAGCAATCGTCGACACTTGTCGACAATCTTCGGGGGCTCGAGCATGTGACATATTTACTGTTAATGTACTAAATAATTGGGACATGTGTTTTATTGAAATAGAGGTGTTTGAATGGGTCACATTACTCAAAATCCCTTTGTGGGTGAAGATAGAGGAAAGCTATATTTTTATTTCGAATCATTGGTCTGTAAATATACTGGACAGTGAATTATTTGATGAAGTTTCATGTGTAAAAAAATGTCACAAACAAAAAGAACGACGAATGGTGACAGAATAACAAGCCCTGCCATCAAAAATTCTAATACGGAAGTATGTGTACTTCCGTATTAGAATTTTTTGTTTTTATATTTTTATTACTGAAATTCGATTTTATACGAATTTTTTACATATTAGTAAATTTCCCCCAACGACCTTCGAATTTACCGAGTGAACCTACGCCTGTATGGTTCGGCATTCCGTGAGGTTAAAAGAGAATTATAAAGTAAAGTCACTATGCGCCACCTGCATTAATTTTAAAATCGGATTTATGTTTTTAATTTAATAAAATGATTTAACTAAACGTTATTAAGTGAATATAATATATATATATATATTTTAAACATTTAAAATTTAATTTAAATACTAGAAACCTTGTTAATTCCGAATGTTTTTAATTAAAATAAAATAAATCTGTTTCGTTCGAATTTAAAAAAAATATATATATTTCTTGTGTATTTTTATTACGAAAAATATCTGTTTATTTATTTTAATTGAATCTAAAATATATGAATAAAAACTAGCTTTTATTTATTAAGCTTCTGTATTGCCAAGTGCATTTGGAAAAAGCAGAGCGGTCGCACCTGTACACTATCCCAGTTATATAGACTGTTAGATGTTGAAGCAGCTGTCTCTGCACATCTAACACTTGGAAACGGTAACTATAAACTCTAACCTTCTAATTCCACTCTGGGATACTTTCTTATATTAATCCCATGGCTCTATAACACGTTAGAACAGACTCCAAATTGTCTATAATATTCCTAGTGTTAATATATTACGTTAATGAAGTAGTGTGTTTAGCTATTCTACAATGTTTTTTACGTGTTTTTAAACTTTTTTTTTTAATCCTATAATTTTATATTTTAAGATATATCGCATTAATAAGATCGATAATCGGAGGAGGGGGGAGGGAATATTTGGATATTGGATACGGGTAGTGGCAGTTGTCTAATGAGCGTGTCACGTGATTTCGGTGTCCAATAACGGTAGTGGGCTACTTTTTAAAAATATTACGGAAACATAATCTTTTAAATTCCTACTTTCTATTAATAATATAAGAATTAATGTGGAATAATGTGTTTCCAACTGGTGAATCGCGGATTCTATCCCGGTTTATAATACAATTAATAAGGCTGAGTACACGAAAAGGTTGAAAAGTACTCATTTTTAAAAATAGTATGTTCTTATCTGCATTTAAAATATTAAAAATCTCTTAACTTGCAAGTGTTAAACGTATATCTTTATGCATATTTTACAGTAATGAAGTAAAAAAAATAAAAAAAAATACATAGAAAAATGGAGAAAAATCATTAAAATATTCTAGAAAAATACTNTTTCTACAATACAGGATCTGCTTGAAATAGGAAAAAAAACTTCTCAAATTGCATTCTAGTATTATTGTTAATATTTGCTTTGTCTTCATTAGAGGATGCAGATTTCCATAGAAATCAGAGATGAATTAATTTTGAGAAATTTCACATGATTTTCTCTAGGTATAGATGATATAATTAGTCTCAACATAATATGGGGACTATTCAGATTCAACTTACAATTGAAGTGCAATTGAACTTGAAGTAATGCAGCTTGCTGCATCACTTTAAGTGGGAAGTTCTGTTCCAAATATGTTAGATCTTGACCTTCACCATTTGCTGCTCCCATTTTTTGCAAGCCAGGCCAAATCCACAATGGACTCATAGTGTTCATAAGGCAAGAGGGTTAGAATAAAAGAAAATTAGACTAATTTTCCTGTATNTTACATTATGAATCATAGATAATTAATATTGATCTGATTGAAAAGTGCATTTTCTTTCTTATTGTAGTATACTTTTGATCAGTATGTTAACCTAAATTTATTGCGACTGTCTATCTGATAGTGACATAGATATTAAAACAAATATTACAGATTTAATGATTTTGGATACAATCCAATCTTTCAATGTTAAGTGCTTATATGTATACACTGAAATGAGAGATTTTGTTCAGAATTGTTTTAATAAATTTGATTTCCAATGAACTTCGAAAAATATATAAGACAAATTGAGATTTTTATAGTAAAGTTTTGTAAATGGGATAGTTCTAAATTAGGTCAATGTTCAGATGCGTGCCACATCATGGCGGCACTTCCGTTTTTAGCCTCAAAACCGTACGCCTGTCGAGACGACGTGTCACGTGACGACGCGAGCGAAGGGCGTCGGCGGCTCTAATGGGCTAATAGGGTACATCAACAAAAAAGGTTGAGAACCACTGATTTATAGAAACCCAATAGTTATTTTGGAATGCGATGTTCGACATTACGTAAGTTAGCTGTGTATGGACTTAACTGCCAAGATGAATGATATTTTAAAGAGGGGGAAAAAAAGGCGACTGGGGGCACGAACCCGGGACTGCATTGCTGAAACGTAAGCTTGATGCAGGAGCGTTTGAGAGAAAAAAAAGAAAAAGACGACATGTGGGTCGGAACCCAAACTGCACATTGCAACGGGAACATGTTGGCGGACAGTCTGAGAGGGGGGAAAAGACAACTAGTGGTTTAAACCCAGACTGCATGCACATCGCGTATTGAGGGCGGAGCTTTGCTGAGCAGACCACTAGCGCCTTCGGAAAAAATGACGATGTTTGTTCTATTTATACTTTATCTAAAGTACACGCAGTGCCATCTATTAGCGGAAAATTTTACAAAACGTTATTAAGTCATTAACTACTGTATATAAAAGCGGAAATCCGGTTTCTGACACGGTATGCCAAAAACGGCCACTAGGGGCGCCCCTAGCTATTATTTTATATTTTTACAGTATATTATTATTTTTTGAAGTTAATTTTGAAGGATGTTATGGGTAGAAAATTTTAAATTTGATTAAAAATCTGTTTCTTTTTTTCCAATTATTTCAAATTTAATACTAACAGATTTTTCTGAATTGAATTTTTTGAACTCATCTTCATGCAGTTCTTTTCCATTAGCATAAATAATTCATACTGTTCCTTTCCTTTCTCTGTAATAGTATTCTCTATGATTCTGTTAGTGTCATGTAATACTTTTACATATATAGAATGATATTGAAATCATTTTTTGAAATCATTGTGGTGAATCCTACTTTTCTGATTCACCACAATATACATCTTCTGTTGCTCAGTGTACAAACAAACCAGTATTTCAGTGGAGATGTCTGCATTATCATCATCTTTGAGAAAAGTTCAACAAGATATCATAATCAAG